ACTAGAAAGTCCAAAACAATCGTCTTCTGGTCTGGTCAAAACAACCAACATGATTTAAAAAATATTTTTAAAAAACTCTCAAGCTAAACCCAAAAAACCCTGAAAACTCCAAAAAAAAATCTTAAATTAAAAAAAAAAAGAACAGGCACAGGAGAGTCTAAAACCAAAACATGAGGCATATTGAATTGTATGTATTTGTTTTGGATGCACAAGAACAGGGAGATAATAACAAAATGAATTTCCTTAAATAAGAAAAATAGATGGAAAGTGTAAATTTAGATCAATTTACTGCAAGAAAAATGCAACGTTTAATTGAGTGATGACAGCTTAACTGGTTTCTGTTTACCACCACTTTCACACAAGTGTTTCCCACTAAATAAACGGTCCTGTATAATTAGTCAGTAGTAATGATACTGGCAGAGAAATATACTTGAGTGTGAAGCATGGACTATAAATGAAGATTTTTATATACAGCCAGTATCACATAGAGAAAAGAGGTCAAAGTTAGACTGTAAACTATATTTGTTTGAATGTTACTGATCACAAAAACAGTGTGGCATTGAATGCTTTTGAACATGTTCAGATTTTAATAATTTGTCTTCAGTTGTATAAATAAACTGTCTGTGTCTGTTTAAACTGCAATGTCAACAACAGCAGCAGCAGCAGCAGCAGCAGCAGCAGTGTTGCAACTGTGCTTGTTCTGAAATAACAGACTGAGTCTGTAACAAAGGGAAGCATGCTTTCCTTTGTGTTTCCTGTGTGTGTGTTTCAGCTTTGTTGGCTCTGCTCCTTTGTTGCAAGTACAATAGCAGGAAAGGTTTGGCTGTAATGCTGAATCCTGGCCAGCAGAGGGTGCTGTGCCACAGTAACAGCAGAGGAGAAGGGACGATATAAAGAGTCAAGTTTGAGTGCAAGGCCGAAAGGATGGTAAAAATACATCAAATTGACACATTAACAACATAAACAGCAAAAATAAAATCTACATAAATATGAATGTCATTTTCAACTATTTTTGTTATTCTGACAATTTGCTATGAAACTGATATTTACTATTTTAAACACATTAACCGGGCAGGTCTGTGCATATGTTTTTCTGTGCTGGAAAACTGCCTGATCCTCACCTTATTGTGTGAATTTAGGGATTTAGGTATTTGGTAATCTGTTAACCTGCAACGGTTATTTAATTTACTCAATTTATACCATTTAAACCAGGCTGTTGCTGCATGGAAGAATCAATCCATATTAACTCCCAGACAACTGACGTCAATCATTGTCCAAAGCACCGGTGCACATCAACCAAATGAATGACCAGATGCGAAAACACAGAGAAAAATTTGCATCCTTAAGCATACATAGTGGCTACTAGTTTCTGGGACTGACGCACACACTTTAAGTCATGCAAACACACATCCTTACATGCACAGCATTTCTTCTCTCATCTTCTGTAGCTAAATGGCTGCAGACAGTGTCTGAATTTTCATGAAATTATCAGGAAGCAGCTTGTTATACTCAGAAGCTGAGTACTTGCCCTGACCACACCTATTATCTGGAAGCAAGTGAGGGTTACACATGTGGTTAAGGAAAATCAACAGAATTTGATATTCTGAAGAATTTTAGTGGCAGGCTTTCAGATTTCTGCAGAATCTGAAATGCTTCCTCCATTAATACCAACGAAAAAGAGGGAGGAACAGGGTTTAAAGGTGAAATTAGTTCTCACAGAAGCAGAGTTAGCAGAAGAACAGGGCAGGGTGGTGCATTCGACCAGTCTCATGTCAGACGGAGGTTAGCAGAACCGGGCTTCCTTTGAAAAGCACCTGATACTTCCCCGGGGAAGAGTTGGGTTGCCCGTCGGCTCGACTGGTAGTCGGCCGTCACTGCGAGAGAGACTGGAGAGATTGGTATTCCGGCTGTCTCAATGCGGTCTGGTTTTTCCGTAACAAGAGGTTAAAGAGGTGAAAGAGTGTGAAAGAGAAACAAGCTAATACAAGTGGGTTAAGGGCGTTTTGCGTTTGCGTTTTCCATGTGTTTGCATAAGATAAATAAGCCAAGGACATAATTAGCCTTGCTAGCGCAGAAGTAGCTAGCCTGTCAAAACAGAAAAAATATGCCTACCTACTCTAAATTTGTCTTATTTACATCTTACATCTTCTAAAATGAAAAGCAACTAATTTATTTGAGATTTACCTGTGATTTCATTAAAGGTGTGAATGTGCACAAATCTGTGTTGTTCAGCAAATACCAGCTCCACATTGTAAGCTAATGTAGCCTGATCATCAGACTGAATTGCCATTTCATTGAAGGTTTTTTGTTTTACCTTTCTTTTAATTAGACGGCAGTGAGTCACATTTTCATCCCGCAAATATAATTTTCAGTCGACACTGAAGCTTTCGTTGTAGCAGGTAGCACTTAACTTGACGTTTTGACTTGTGACTAGCATATAACTGCAGAACTGTGGCAATTTAAAAGTTATTTCTATAAAATGGCTTAAAAACTATACAGTTGTGAAGATGTTATTCACATTTGTCGATATTTTCCTGTACGTTATTGTGTTGCTATTGGTCAAGGATGTAGCCAGCTAACTAGCTATGTATGAAGATGAGGTCCCCACTCTTAATCCTGCATACAAAGCTACAATAAATACAGTGGAATATGATATTTAACGCTGAAATGTAGTGGACCAAAATGTTTAACGTGTAAAAAATGATACAACAACACTTTGGCTAGCTGCGCCGAAGGTTTCCAACTTTGTGCTAAGATAGGCTACACAAGTCCTGGGTAATTTCTGAACAAAATGTACAAAGATTAAACTGATTTTATGATTAAAAGTTGTCAGCCAAATTGATATTGACCTTAAAGAGTATTCCTTTAAGTCTGTATAATTGTAAGTAGTCCTAAGAATATACAGGATATATGGACAGAAATTTATTCACAATGACCGTAAATTACTTTTTAGGTCTTTCTCATTTCCAGTGACAGATTCAGAGGCACACACAGACAGGTGGTCCTGCATAGCTCCATGGGTAAAACTCTGCCAGAGATAAGGGTATGAGTCCCGCTGGGGCCAGCTGCACTACACATGATCCTGCTCATGATACTGAAAGATGTTTGGGAAAAAAGGTCCAGCAAATTGTTGCATGCAAACTGTAGTAGAGGTTCGGAAAGCCGAGCGTTGCATTCTCCGCAGCGTGGAAGATCACAGATACCTCCCCAGAGCAAAGGGGGGAGTCCTCCTCGATTACTCAAGCTAGGTTCCTGTGGAAAACACAGCAGGGGCTTGAATCACTGCTGTTTGACATGCATGCTCTTTTAATAAGAGTTTAGTACCACATGTAACAAAAAAACAACTTAATATCACTCTCAGAGATTAGAGGGGGTGTGGTGGATGGATGAAACAATCTGAATCCACCACCTGTGCCAAAGCTTTAGGCATAGAGGATGTAGGCCGTGTGAGGTCACCCCAGCTGGCTTGACCCTTGCTGACACTGTAGTTGGCCAGTGCCCAAACTCACCAGTGGGTTCTCACATGACTAGAGCAGCAATGTGTTTTAGTAAACCTCAGGCCCTGCAGGCAAGAGGTCCAGAGAGTGGGGAGCTCCCAGCATCACTTTGTATCCTCAAGGAAAAGATTTGAGGACACTTAACAGGCTTTTATCTGCAGATGGAAATGATTTGTTAATTATCAGGGAAGAAAACAGGATATAGTGTCTGATGAAGAGCTGAGAAGCAAAAAGTGCACATGCCCATCGACTTACAATTTTGAGGTACTTCTTGTATTTTCTTTTTGCACATCATTTCAAAGAGAAATGCTGTTTTTTCTGTATTTATCTAACAAATTATGGCGTCTAGTTACTTTGCAGAACAAGATTTTACATGCACAATGTTAAGAAGATTATACAAATGATGCATTGTTGGAGAGGCCAGGAGTAGATTACATTGAAATGCTGCATTACGAGCAAAACTAATTTAAAATGTTGATAAGTAAAGTACAGCAAGAAAGTAGTTTCATTAAATTTGAGAATACCTTGTTTACATGTCTAAAAAAAACTTTTTCAAATGTGCTTTTACCTACAAACTTTTACTATATTTTACCAAACCTATAGTTTTATTTGTTATTATTTGTTTGTATATTTACTGTTAACTTTATTCATTTTTTAAACACTTCTTTTATTTGTGTCCTTTTATTTTGTTCCAATTTTTTGCATATGCCTTTTTATGTGTATCTTTAATCTTTTGAGAAGCGCATTATATTGCATCTCTTTAAATGAATTGTGCTTTACAAAAAGATTATTATATTATAAAAAAGTTACTTAAAATACCCCAAATAAAAGTACTCATTAAGCAGACTGTATTGTTATTGTTATCCTTATGTATTACCGATGCATTCATGTATAAACAGCATTTAATGGAAATAGAAACACCCATATTAAGTACAAGTGCCTCTGATTTGTACTTGAATAAATGTATTTTCACCACTGAATGAGTCATTTTTGAGAGTAAAAATTACATAAGATTTGATGCCAGGTTAATGGCTCGTGTAAAATTACCTTTGGGTTTGAATAAGGTTTAATAATAAACTCTAAAATAAAAAGCCAAAATATAAAAGTTGACCCGTGTCTTGTGTCTGCCCACAGCGACAGAGAGAAGACTCTGGGCGGCTCTTCGGCTCGTCTACAGGTCTGGGAACGGTTTTCTACGTCTCAACAGTTGCTGGAGGACCTAACGGCAGACTCCAGATATGCCCTACAAAGTCACCGCCTATTTTTAACTTCAGTAAAACTCTTTGTAGCGCGATTGGTCAGAGCTATTGACGCAAAGCACTAATATCCGCGTGTGATTGGTCCAGACACCTGTCAGCGGATGTCAGTCAAAATGACGGGCCAATCAGAGCCCGCGTTTGACTCTTTGTTCCTCCCGTTTGGTCGGTGACGCAGAGGGTCATGTGTTGTTTGTGCTCTGGCCCGTAGAGATGTGTACAGGCGGAGAAGCGAGCGGATTGCTAACCGAGCTAGCCGGATCCTCCCGATTATAGAAACACGGCTGAGCGTGGTCATGTTGCACACGGTAGGCTTCATTTCGTGAAAAGAGCCCGCACCGGAATACCCGCCTCGCCGCTGAAAAGGCAAAGGGGCTCGTTTTTTTTTGGCGGAATAACAAAGCCGGTCTGTGAGGATTGCAAATCTGAGCCGTGCGAGTCAACGTTAGCTGGCCTAGCCGGACTCGGGAGCTCGTCTCCCAAAACAAGAATGGGGTCTAGGTCCACTCGGATTAGCTTGCTAGTAAAGTGACCTTTGATTGTACTCTCTGATGGCAAATTTCACGAATTACCAGGAAGGCAAGGCAGCGATGTTGATGGTGGAGACGCAGCAGAGGGACGTGGGGACGAAATCTGCGGCCGCCACCGCAAACGGAGACGGCTCGGTCGGGGAACCCCCTTCCCCGTTAATTAATATCGGCGGCGGCGGCGGCGGAGGAGGAGGAGGAGGCGGCTCTCGTTTCCATCAACATTTACCGCCCTCCAACCACCTCCACCATCTCCACCTCAGCCACCATCACCCGCCAAAGGATCAACAGCAGCACCATCACTACCAGCTGGCTCCGCAGCAGCAGCAGCAACAGCAACAGCAGCAACAGCAACAGCAACAGCAGCATCTTTCCGGGGAAAACATCGCTGAGTCCCCCGGCAGGAAAGCCTCCTCCTCGTCTCTCAGCCAGGTACACACGGCCGAGGACCCCGCCGCTTCCTCCTCCGCCGCTAGCAGCAGCAGCAGCAGCAGCAGCCATGTATACGCGGCTGTGAACGTCGCAAATACCTCGGATGTTGTGGACGATATACGCAAATGTGGCTATTTAAGAAAGCAAAAACACGGACACAAGAGGTTTTTCGTGCTCCGGGCGGCCAGTCACCTCGGGCCGAGCCGCCTGGAGTACTACGACAGCGAGAAGAAATTCAGGAACAGCCTGCGCTCTGCTGCCGCGGCAGTCGCCAGCGGCGGAGCGGTCGCCCCTTCTCCCCCTAAAAGGGTTATTTACCTCTACCAGTGCTTCACGGTAAACAAAAGGGCGGATTCCAAAAACAAACACCTCATTGCTCTTTATACTAAGGACGAGTACTTTGCCATTGTGGCTGAAAACGAGCAGGAGCAAGAGGACTGGTACGTAGCTGTCAGTGAGTTGATGAGTGAGGGCAAAAAAGGGCACTTGGATTCTGATGATTTAGATGATGGATACGGTACGGTCACCCCTGGTACTGTGTTTAAAGAGGTGTGGCAGGTGAATGTGAAACCTAAAGGACTGGGTCAAACTAAAAACCTCACAGGTGTTTACCGGCTATGCCTCTCTACTAAAACCATACACCTCGTAAAGTTGAACTCTGAAACCCCCTGTGTTAACCTTCAGTTGATGAATATCAGGCGCTGCGGACATTCAGAAAGCTTCTTTTTCATTGAGGTGGGTCGCTCCTCCTCCATCGGGCCCGGGGAGATATGGATGCAGGTGGATGATTCTGTCGTGGCCCAAAACATGCACGAGACCATCCTGGAGACGATGAAAGCCCTAAAAGCTTTTGCTGAGTTTCGGCCCAGGAGTAAGAGCCAATCATCGGGCTCCAACCCCATGCCATTTATCACGACACGCCGCCACCTGGGCAACCTGCCGCCAAGTCAGACCGGGCTGCAGAGGCGGTCGAGAACGGAGTCGGTTGTTGGTACGCCGCCGTCAAGTAAGAGCTCTGGGGCAAGTGGTTATCGCTTCCGCACATCCAGTGAGGGTGAGGGAACAATGAACCGGCCGTTCCGCTCCGCCACAGGAAGTCTGGTTCACCTTAACTCAGCAAGGGCCCATCATGGTCGTCAGGAGGGTGGCGGAGCCAGCAGTGGTAGTGGTGTTGCCACAGGAAACGCTGGCACAAGCACTAGCGGCGGGGGGCGCTATGTCAGAGCCATCCCGGGGTCATCGTCCACCTACCACGCCCGCTCCGCCTCTCTCCCAGTCTCCCACTTCCCCTCCACCACCAGTCCCGTGAGCGTCTCCTCCAGCAGCGGCCACGGCTCCGTCTCCGACACACTCACCCGCCCATCGAGCGCCTCAATATGTGGCTCCCCGTCTGACGGCGGCTTCAACTCTTCAGACGAATATGGCTCCAGCCCCGGTGATTTCCGGTACTTCCGGGTGAGGAGTAACACACCAGACTCCCTGGGCAACACCCCACCAATCAGAGAAGAGAACTGTCTAAATGACTACATGGCCATGGGCTGGAACCGGGAGGTCTTTGGCACCAGCGGGGGGTCTGGAAACAACAGTGGAGGTGACACGCCACGGGATGAGAGCACGTCAACAACGGAGGACGAACGCTTTTCATCATCGTCGCTGAGGAGGAGGACGCATTCTTTCTCCAGACCCGCCGGGGGTGCAACCGGCGGTTCTGGAGTGGCAGTTTACCAGAAAATGACCCAGACCAACTTTTCATTGGACGAAGGGTCAGATGTGGTGTTACCATTCGGCAGTGGGCTTCTCCGTGGCGGGCCGTCCTCCTCCTCTTCCTCGCTCCGTTCCGACTACAGTTCCTGCTCCGAGCACAGCCAGCAGAGCCGTCCCTCCACGCTCTCCCGGACGGAGGCCGGTGGTGAGCGCCCTTCCCTTCCTTCCTCCTCCTCCTCTGCCAAGGAAGACAGCGGCTACATGCCCATGATGTGTGGCGTGGCTGCGTCACCGCGGGACACCCCTCCCGACTACATGCCTATGCAACCCAGCTCCTACTCCCACCACGTCTCCCATTCCCCGCAGTTTCACAGTCCAGCTTTAGGTGCCCGTTCAGCCCACCCCCAGCTCCCGCCTCAATCCTCCACGGACTCTCACGGTTACATGATGATGCTCCCAGGGGGCAGCGGCACCTCTCCCTCCCCGGTGCAGGCCTCTCCCAGCCCCCACAGTAGCTCCAGTTTGGCAGGTGCCAGTGGGAGTGACAGTATAGCAGAGAGACCTGAGAACGGGGAATATATGGACATGTCGTACAGCAGCAGTGCGGGGCGCAAGCTCTCAAACGAAGGGAGCAGTGGGTATTATACACCTGGGACACCTGAGAGCACCCCAAAGTCTTACAGCCCATATTTCTCGCTCCCTCGCTCCTACAAGGCCCCCACCAGAGAGAGGGATGAGAAAGAGTACGGGGAGTATGTTCCTATGAGTTCTCCTGCCAAGCCAGTCTATTCATCAGTTGCCACAGCGTCAATGTCAACACCAGAGAGGAGGGTTGGAGGAGGAAGTAGCACCTCCACCCCATCTCATCCACCCCCGCCTTATGGAGCTCATCATGCGACCGCAGCAATGGCCGACAGACGCATCGTGAGGCCGAACCGCCTCCCTTTAGGCAGAAGGAGTTTCCACGGTCCACTGCGGGTTAGTGAGCCCTCCACAGCGTCTGCAGGCACCTCAACATCAGTCCCCGCCACTGGTAGCTCGTCTGAAGGGCCTTCCAGTCCCGGAGAATATATTAACATTGAGTTTGGAGATCACTACCCCCACCAACAGCAGCCCCCCGCCTACCCTCTCTCTGCCCAAGATGAAGCGCCTTCCCTGGGGTCCAGTGACCACCGTCACTCCCCTCCACAGCCCCAATCTCACCAGGACTATATGAGTGTGGAGGTAGAAGCAGACCAGCAGGACAGCGCTGGATGTCTGGGTAAGAACCAGTCACCAAGGCCCAGCCTTGTTGCCCCATGGAACCCGCCCAGCTACATCAGACCCCTGGCTAGCAATCCTGGGGCGCTGGCCTCCCCCGGAGTCCCTGCCGGAGGTCACTGGAGGTCGATGGGGGACGACTACACGGACATGACATTTAACCTCAGCAGAGGTGAGAGGACGCAAACGAGCCCCACAGCCATGCTGCAGCATCTCTGTGTAATCGAGGGACATTACGGCCATGCTTCCTCTGCCTCCCCCTCATCCATCTCCCCTCCTCTCCCCCCGTCGAGCCCAGGTAGGGCACCAACACAGCAGCTGGAGCCCAAGGTGGTTCGAGCTGACCCCCAAGGCAGGAGGAGACACAGCTCGGAGACATTCTCCTCCACCTCCTCCACTAATTCAACTCCCTCTGCAGGAGGACTCGGCCCCTCATCCTCAGCCACCCACCCAACACTTACGAACACCGCAGCCCCAAACGGGTCTTACCTAACGGAGGGTCAGGCTTCCAGATGGGCCAGCTCAGCATCTTTCGACAGTGTGTGGATGTCTGTGGAGGGTCTAGGGGACTCGCCGGCTCACCATGCTCCAGTAAGAGCCATGGAAATGAGCGCTGCCTCTGGGACCTCAGCATCCTCGTCCTCGGGGGCCGGGGCCGGTAGAATGTGCAGGAACATGTCGGTGGGCTACCAGAACGGACTGAACTACATTGCCTTGGAGCTGAGGGAGGACGGGAGTAATATGGGAGCCATGACGTCGGGAGCCGGTAGCAGCAATGGGAGCTTGGTGGTGGCGGCTGCGGCGGCGGCGGCGGCGGCAGCAACGGTGGGGACGGTGCCTCTGCCGGAGAACGGCGCCTATGCCAGTATCGACTTCACCAAATCTGATGGAGTCACCGCAACAACCAAGGGTGAGTTGACACCAGTGTGTCTCAGTGATGCTAAGTTTTGTTTTCCTGCTCTGACAGCCGTTGTTGAAAGCCTCTGTTCTACTCTCATAATCATATTTGGCAGGAAAATCTTTGACACCGGCAGCCAGCGTATGGAAAAACATTTTCTAGCTTTGTGTGTGTGTGTGTGCATGAGAACGAGCTTTCATGTGTGAGGAGTAGAAGCGAAAAAAAAAAAAAGTGTTAAGGATATTTTTTCCTCACTGAAATCCAAAATAACCCTAAGTGCTGCGTGCTATTATTAGTCACATTATATCAATTTGCAGCTCCTCTAGTGAATCTATTTTGGATCAAGTCTCTGTGATCTTGACAAGGCTGCGTTCAGGCGTGTTGAGCAGCCAGCCGTTGTCTTTTGAAGGCATCTGTCCAGGGAGCTGAAGTCTCAGCTATAACAGTGCTGGTACAGGAAGTGGCACCAATATGCGGTTCATCTTGAGGTCTGTGTGTTGTGTGCGTGTGTGTGTGTTGTGTGTGTATGTTGTGTGTGCCAGCAGACTGGTAGACGATTAGCTTGCTGAATGAACGGAGGTTTATCTGAGGTCAAGTGTGGACTGAATCACCCAAAAAAGGCCCTGACTTCCCGTCTTTGTAGCTGGTGGTGTCTCTGTGTGCCTGTCTGAGCATGTGCCGCCTGTTTTCTTTGTGTCAGCATGTACTGTAGGCAGAGTGTGCTAATGTGTGGGTGTTTGTGTGTTTAAACATCTTTTTTTTTCTTTTTTTTTTTTCTGCTGTGAGGCTGTCACTTGAGACACTTTTGTACACCTTTGAAAAAAAAAATACGGTTATTTATACCAAACATGGAAGAATCCAGCGCCAGCAGGAGCAGCTAGTATGATGGCAAAACACCATGAAACGCCTTACACTGCAGTAACCTGGCAGCAGTGTTCCTCTTCTTGAGGCTGTAGTTTGTAGGGCTTCCTCTCATTCTTGATTGAACAGCAGATCATTTTCTCAGGTAATTCATCGGCGTATTTAAACTTAAAAAAAAAAAAAATCACTTTCCCAAACAGTCCAAAACCCAAAAAGATTTAATTTGTTGTCACATGTGATGAGCAGCAAATTGCAGATACGTTTTCTTTAATATAAGAACTTAATAATCAGTTAACAGTCTTTAAGTCAGTGTTAGTTTAGTTTGGATTGTGACCACCTGTGCTTATTTAGTTTTCCCGTTTCCCCAATTTTGTCCCATGACACGCTGCAAAGTGTGTTTAATGTTTTAAGCGTCTGATGCTAGTTAATTATCAGATACATGTTAGCGCTGACACACACATCTCTAACTTGTATTCCAGACTGAGGAGCTCACTTCTGTAGCTGCTTTGTAGTTGTGATTTACAGCAGTCGCTGCCTGAACTTGTGCAGCGTCAGTCAGAAGCTTTTGGAAAGTTGTGTGGTGTTTCAAAAATCATTAGGACCTCTGTCAAACAAACGAAATCTGCATCAGCAAACAAAAAAAAAAAAACACTTCAAAGGAAACTTTCTTTGTAACGCTAAAACTCTGAGTTCAAGAACTTCCACTGAGTTGAATCTGCAGCATTGTGAGGTTTTAGGTGTGTGTGTTACATCAAAGCAATTTTACTTAATCTACTTATGTTGTGCTCTGGATTCTAGAGGTTGTTGGTTCCTGCCTTAAAACTTTTCGTAGTGTTTTAAAAAAGTCTTTGTTTATTATTAAAATGCATAGTGTCTAAAATATCCATTGTTTTGGTCAACAGTCAGAACACAAAAGTTACATTTTGAAAAACACATAAAACTATTTATCTTTGAGAGCTTAAACTTATTTTGTAGCTTTTTTACTTAATTAGCTAAACAAGTAATCAACTATTAATTAGTCACAAAGTTTTTCTGTATATGATCGAATCGAATAATGAGCTAATTGTTTTAGCATTATATATATATATATATATATATATATATATGTATATATATCTGAACACAGTCATTTCTGTATTAATATTCACAATAAGATTCTGAGTTGATGGTTGGTTTGGTTGAAATCATTGTCACACAATTAGTTTGATTTAGAGCTGCAACAATTAGGAGATTTAAACGGTTAAACAAAACGAACGAGCCGCTGTTTTGATAATCAATTAATCGTTTCGATCGAAAAAGTGCCAAATATCTCCGGCTCCAGCTTCTGAAATATCACAAATGTCTGCTTTGCTTTTGCTAAGAAGCATAAAGACATCACCCTGGGCTCTGAGAAACTGTGAATGCCATTCAAAGAGAGTAAATGATTAAGAGAAAATCATTGGCAGATTAATCAATAATGAAAATAATCATTGCAGCCTTAAATAGATTGTTTTGCTGCAATTTATCTTAATCATTTTGTGTATAATATGTCAAAAAAATAAAGAGAAATGTTTGTTTTAATTTACCAAAAACCTTTTTAAATTTTGTGTTTTAACCAACCAACCAACCAAAACCCCAAAACTGAGTCGGACAGTTAATCTGTCATCAGTACAGTTGCATCTTCACTTTCCGTCTGTCAACCAATCGATTATTGGACCAATAATTTCACCTCCAGTGTCACTGAGACTGAACTGAACTCTGAACTTTATATGTGTAAAACATAAAATAAAGCTTAGACATATTCAGCTCTGAATCATGAATTTGGACGTCGGGGAGGATCTTATCATCATGATGTGATTGCACTTAAAGTTGAGTCACAATAATATTGAGTCATCTCCCAGCACTCGCTTTAGCTCCCCATCTCTTCATCGTTCATTAACGTGCTTTACTTTCTGCAGTAATAATATAAGATAAGATAGTGTTAAAGGCAGTGATGGTGTCTGTACATGGTGATGTTGAGGCACGGGCTACAGGAAGACGTGTGTGTGCACGAGAGAAAAGGGGATATTGAGACTCGTAGCGCTGAGGTTAGGTCTGCAGTCGCTGTCGCAGACGGCGTGTGCGAGGATCAAGGGGACGAAGAGAGGATGTTTTGACTCCGTTTTCAGTCTTTCACTTCCTCTTTCATCATCTCCTTCTCCCTTTCACCCACTCGTTCTGTCTTAGATTCGCTCCTCGCCTCCCTTCCCCTCGCTTCCTCCCTGAATCGTCTCTTTTCTCGCTGCGTGTGCGTGCGTGCGTGTGTGTGTGTGCGTGTGTGCATGAGCATGAGTCAGGATTCTCTGCGAGCGCCGACTGACTCATTTGTTTATCGTGGCGCTGAACGGAGATGAAAGAGCTTGTGTATATGTGTGTGTGTGTGTATGTGTGTGTGTGTTTTAAATCTACAGTGCTGAATCTGTGCCTGCTAGCACAGGAGATCAACTGACACTCAAAGCGCTCAAGCACATCCTATTGTGTGTGTTTGTCCGTCTGTCTGTGTGTACTTTTGTTTTCAGCCGCTGCCAGCAGGTTCATTAAGCATTTCAGTGCGTGTGTGTGTGTGTGTGAGTGTGTGTGAGGTTCATGCAGTTCAAGGTAACGTTCAGAAATGTTGATTCATACCTATACTCTCTCTCACACACACACACACACACACACACACGGACTATGGGAGCATGATCAGCCTGTGCGTGCTCAGCGTGTGTCGCTGTGTGTTTACGGTCTTCGCTCTGCATCGAGGTGTGTAGGCGTGTGTGTGTGTGTGTGTGTGTGTCTTTGCACGCACTGAGTCATGGCAGGCAGCCTTTGATGTGGCGCTGTAATTGCGGCGGCGGCGGTGGCTGGGCGGCATGTCAAGGCACACAGCGGGGCCGAGAGGAAACGCATCATCATCACTCAGGAATGCAACTTCCTCTCAGCTGCGGTGTTGAACTGATAGAGGCACACCTGGATCCTTGACCTGGAGGAGGGAGGGAGGTTGAGATGAGCTTTTTCTGTCCAGCTGTCAAGGAAAGTTTGGGATGAAACGTTGCTCTGGAAATAAATATTAAATAAAGCTTGAATTGGGTGTGTTTACATCAGCTGGCGTTCAGGAAATTACCTCACCTCTTAAAACTGGAAAAACAAGGGGAATATATGTACAAACAATATGAGCACATGGTGAAAATCACCTTTACATTGAGGCTGACAGTTCATTCTTCATCTTTGAAACATTAGTGTAAATTTAAGGGCTGCAGCTAATAATTGTTTTCACTATTTCTGTGATTAATCGATGAGTTGTATTGTCTATAAATGGTCATAACGTACTGAAAAAGGCCTTATTGCACTTTCATAGACCCCAAACTGGTGTATTCAGAGTCCCTGTTTTATCCATCCAGCTGTGCAAAACCCAAATATATTCAGTTCACTCACATGCAAAGCTGAAACTCTGGGATTTTTGCTTAAAAATCGACTGGAATAATGAGTCAATTATCGTCATAGCTGCTGATTAATTTTCTTTCCATCATATTGACTAATTGTTTTGGCTCTAAAGGTTCAGCATGTTAATTAACAGTATTTATTAGTGTTGTGAATGCGATTTATTTCCTTATTTTTCTGTTCAGCTTGTGACCGCTGCTAACTGCTAACTGCTAACATTTACGCTGACCCATAAATGTTGTAAACTGATGAATTTCTTTACTGTTACGATGCAGAATTGAAGGGATTTTCATGAGTGTTTCTGTGAATGAATGGCTGAAACAATAAATTGATTAATCGATTAGTTCACAGCAGTAATGTTTTTAAAGTTAAAGGATGTTTCTCCTGCTTCAGTCATCAATGTTCCATCGTTATCGTTAAGATAATATGTGCGCATTATTTCGCCTCCATATTGTTACGAGGTGGGATTTTTAAATGGGCCATGAGTTGGAAGAAGTTGGGAACCGTCAACAGAAAATCAGTCAATACATTTGATAAGTGATTAGACATTTAAATCATTTAAAAAAGGAAACATGATGAACTTTATTGCCTTTCCTGCTTCTCAAAATGACTTTCTTACACTCAGAACAAGCGATTGAGAGATTAAATGTAACTGACTATAACAATGTAATCACTCGTTTCAGTCCAGCTGTGATCATTAATAAAATCAGATA